ATAGGAACGTTAACACTGCACATAAAAAATATTCATCTGAGTTAATGAATCAAAATAAATTAGGGAACAAAAATCTTAATTTCCTGCTCAATGAGTCAAACCTGACAACTCCCACATTTTTGCTATGTAAAACAATTTAGATTTTAGGGGAAATCAGATTGATGTTAGACTCTTGAATACAAAATCAATAATAATCTTTTTCAATTTTCATGTTTCATGTTTTCTTATTATATCATCTTTGAGAATTTACACAAATGAGTTTGCATTTGGAGTCATCTCTAATAATTACATAATTTTTCATGGAGACATCTTGCCATGAACAGCAGCATGCGACACACAAAGCAGGCAGTAAACTGACTGATTATGACAAACTTGTTTTGTTTTTCTTCATTGCAACTTATTGTGAGAAAAGGCTTAATACTGGTTGAGGCACTTCAATTTTGATTTGTTGATACCTGTTGGTGTTTTTGATGAGATGTGTCCATGAAAAATCTGACAATGATGATGTTTTTCATACATGTTTCAGTTTCATTTTGAATTTTGTTGCATACATTACACAGTTTAATCCTAGGAAACCACATGACATTATCTATTTTCAAGCAGCTGGCATCTTCAAAATGAAGGGGTGTGCATAATTTAGCAGCATTGATGTGCATCAAGCATATTCCATGTAGCCAATAAAACTTATCTGAGCTGTGTGTGTGTTGCAGTCTCCATGCTAATTCTTCAAATTCATTCATGAGTTTCAAATGCATAGAAACGCCATGATCCCTAGGAATTTCAGCTAAATTCTTTCACAGCTGTTCCTCGTTTGTTCACTTACTCACCTGGGCAGCATTCAGTAATCAAACTGCCCATTATAAATACTCTTTGGTTCAGGTACTTCATCGTCAGCTCATCTGTAGTCTGCTGGCTACTGTTGCAATTTCCAGTCTGGTCCTGATTTCTGAGTCGTTATGAAAATCATTTACTCACCATGCTCCTGCCTCAGCCCTCATCACAGCTAAAACATAGCAACAAATCTGCTGTGCCCAGTGTTTATTCACTAGTCAGTATGACTAGAAATGCCTTTTAGCTAATCATCTAATTGCTTTTATCTAAAACAAAACCAGCAATTATGCCATATATTGCAAGAAAATGTAAAGTATATATATATGTTTATTGTTTTATTTAGATATGTAGACTAAAACAGAAATGTAGAATAAAAAAACATTTAGGAGTAATCCTTTAATAAAAAACTGATTTTTTTTTCTTTTTGCCCTCTTTTTTAAATTTTTTTTGCTAAATAATTCAAACTCAGTCAGACTAAATAGAGAAAATCTCTGAAAACTCATTTTAAACTTTTGCCAAAGATTTTCTGTTAGCATTAGGACTGGACTTCGACTGGGTCTTTCTAATAAACATTAGAACGGCCCATTTTCCCATGAAGTCTGACCAATTTCTCTGTTTCTACTGTTTTCTAGTTTTATTCCACATGCATGTAGCTCCAAAGTTACATTTTTATGACCAAAGCTCTGTGTTTCACATGTTTGCTGTGAATGGATTGTGGCAGTCTGCAAGTGTGTATGTTTCTCCAAAAGTAGTGTTTTTCTTTCTGTTTTTCCTTCCAATTTACGGAGAGCTTTGATGTAATCCTTGGTTTTCATTATGCTGTTTATTCACAAAACTCACAGAACAGCTGCATAAGGACATAAGGGACATTTCACTTTTAATTTTATTCAAAAAGCATCTGAAAAAACTCCATGGTGTTATTTTGTGGTTTTTGTTCGTGCATTTATTATGTTTTAAATCAACTTGACAATAGGAATAAAGATGGAAATTAGCCACCTGTCCATAGATTTGTGTATTTAAATGTAAATGTTATTTATTATGTACTGTCCTGTTAAAAAAAATAAAAAGATAAGCTTGAACTTGAATCTATAGAAAATTTAAATTGCAAAGAAGTGCATTCAAATTGTTATTCTGAAGACAATTAATTGAGCTGGATTTCAATTAGATGTGTCAGAAAATGGGGACTATATACAATTACACTCCACACTTTTAAGTGTTTTGACCCAAAAAGTAAGTTAAAGCAAAAATGAATAAATAAAGTATAGGGGTATGCAGAGTTTTTAGGGTAATGTAAATCCTGAAAGTAATGTATTAAATGAAGAGTTAAAATTTTGGTGAAAGCTGCTGTAAAATCTGTAAAATCCAGTATATAAAAGAAGTCTTCAAATATCTTGTATGTCAAATCCACGCAGTGTGTAGAAAACTTGAGGGCTGAAAGTAAAACAGTTTTTTCCCCTCCTTTCTGTTTGTGTTCTGACAGGAAAGCGTTGACCTTGGGGAGATCATGTTCTCACTCTGCTACCTGCCCACCGCTGGCAGACTCACACTAACCGTCATCAAGTGCAGGAACCTCAAGGCCATGGACATCACTGGGTACTCTGGTGAGTCGTGTTCTCTTTGTGTGATTCACTTACAGTGACAGCGAGTCAAAAAGAATGGTCCTCCTCTGTATACCCATTTGTAGGCATGTCAGGGAGAATGAAGAAACCGTGGAAGATACTCTGCATGGGTGAATTCTGATTATTTCAGCAGTTATTAATACCCCGCACCTGTAAGATTGAGAATTTGTCAGCAAATAGTTGCAGACAATCTGTTGTTTTAATAGAGTGCCATCCTACTTCTCTATTAAACCTTCCCCTTCGATTGGGGTATCGCTTGTAAAATGTGACATTTATTATGCTTTAAATGCCAGAGTTCAGGTGTTATTCAGGATGAATGTGGTACTTTTTCTCTCACACATTTAATGACATTTCACAGCTTTTGATGTGACTCAGTTTTAATTCCCCGAGTGGTCAGAGCTTTTGCTGTCTGCCATTATTTCAGTCTGTGCATTGTAAACCCAAATCTATTGTATTGTGCCTTCCAGCATATCCAACTGTTTATGGATCCAGAGCAGCTTACAGATGACTAAGACTTGGCTTGACGGGCGGCTTGCAGTGATTTATCACTCAAAATGAAGAAGGAGATCAGCATTCAGGAAGCTTTCTCAGTGATGCTATTTGGAAGTTATCTTTGGCTCTCATATCCATTTTGTTTACGCACGGTGATGAGTCACTTTTATGCACGTTACTGATGCCAGGTCCTCCAGCACTGCCTTCCTGTTTGAGTAGAAACACTCACGCACTAGTTTATGAAATCCGGAAGGGCTGCGTCTTTGTTGACAGCAAACATTGAAGCTTTATCTTTTTAAACAATGCTCTCAGATTGGTACTGCTCTACTGGAGGGAAAATGAGTTCAATAAGTAGGAGGATGTACAAACGTGATGAGTTTCATTTTCTTATTTTCTTTTCTTCTTATTATTAGATCCCTATGTCAAAGTATCGCTCATTTGTGACGGCAGACGTTTGAAAAAGAAGAAGACGAGCATTAAGAAGAACACCCTGAATCCCACCTACAACGAGGCCATCATCTTCGACATCCCTCCAGACAGCATGGACCACGTCAGCCTGCACATCTCTGTGATGGATTATGATTTGTACGTTTGAGTAGAGCTCAAGTCATTAGTCTTATTTTTAATTGAGGATTTAGAATTAAGAGATTCAATAGTTGCCTCTTGCACAAAAAGTTAATATTGGACAAATATAACCTGAATAAATACAAAACACAGTTATAAATTCTGATTTCATTTTCACAAAAACTATCCAGTTTGCGACCAATCTGGCCCTATGTAAAAATACACTTTCCAGTCTTTAAAATCAGCCTAGTCAAAGTCTGGACTTAAATCCGAGTGAGCTCTCCTGTTTATGTTCGTAGATCCTCGAGTGGCTTTCAATTAAATCAATTCTGAGGGAGAAGAAACCAAAACTCCTTCACATGGATGAAAAAAACAAATTCCCAGTTATCACAGATGGTTGATGGTAGTTAATGCTGCAACCAGCGATAAATCATTTGCAAAATTATGCAGTCTATCTTTATCTGATATAAAATGTGCGTGCTAATCTGAAACATTTAGGTTGGAAATAAAAATAGAAAATCTTTAAGAGGCAATTCTTTCTCGCTGCACTGCCTGTCATGCAGAAAGAAACATCACACAGAGTAAATGCATCACAACAGTCTAGACAAATTGGGCTCGGCACACTACGTAGATGTAATTATAAGAATCTGCTGGGTAGGTAATTACAATTTGCTGTAGCAAACACTGAAATGATATTCTTTAGATAAAGATAAGCGCAAAAGCAGTGCAATACGGTGCTTTGTGTTTATAGAATGTGACTGTCCAAGCAATGTGAAAGGAACGGCTGCAGTGCAGACAGCTGACAGAATGAGAACATGCATGTTAAAGGTCAAATTGTGGGTATTTTTCTTGTCCTGTTCCTTTTGTTGTTAAAAGGAGAGGATACCTGCAGAATTAGATTCCTAGCCCTTCATGCTTTATTTACAGCCTGCAATCCTAATGGGACCTAATCAGGTTGTCTTAATAATATAAGGAGTTTTAGATTAAAAGAAAGTCTAAATTTATCCACAGTTTGCTAAATTGTTAACAAACATCAGCTGTAATGCCTTCGGATCAAGTCCATGTAAATGTCACAGAGACAACCAGCTGCATCAGTTGAAAGGGGATGGGCAATCAGAATTCTGTCTCCTTTGATTACAAAATGGTCCTCACGCAATTATGAAAAATGGCATGTATGAGATGTTGCATCGAGTTAAATCAGATTTATTCATAGTACTACGTGCTTGTGCCTCTGCAGGGTGGGTCATAATGAGATCATTGGTGTGATGAGGGTTGGAAGCCATGCTGAGGGACTTGGCAGGGACCACTGGAATGAAATGCTGGCTTATCCACGGAAGCCTATTGCACACTGGCATCCCCTCCTGGAGTCCAAGAAATCTGAGAAGGAGGTGAGTAAGATTTTAGGGCTCCTCATGGAAGATGTGGAGCTTCCCACTTGTCAGATCAAGCGCCCATTGATGGACAAATCTCCACCATCTGGATCATCTCAAGCCAAAAGCTGGGTTGAGTATTTGTACATGTCATGTCATCAGTTATTTTCTTAATAAATCAAAAATATAAGTTTCTCTGTAGTAAAGCTGTTCCTAACCCCTAATTTATACTGCATCCAACTCCGCTCCGCAATTCACAGGTGAACTGTAGCCGCTCCACAGCAGCTCAGTTTGTACTACTTGGGTCTCTTCTCCATTTTGCTTCGAACGGCAGAAATGCTTCACGAAGCATGCGTGCGAAATGAGAGCTTGCACGATAAAGCAAGTGGTAAAAATGATGAGTGGTGTCGTAAAATACTCTAGTTCTTAATTTCCCATTTTAATAAATTTCCCTCCTTTGCTCTCCCACTTCATTTGCCTTGACTGGTGCTCCAGCTTGGACTTTAGCAGAAACTTGACTTGATGCGTTTTATGTATTTGCAATAGCATAACTGTTGCATGCTAAAAGTACTATAAAAATGCCCAGATCTTCATTCATATAGCTAATGTTTTAAGCAAATGTCATGTGTCTTGGTGAATTATTTTGAAAATATGAATGCTGTGCTCATGCACCTTCCTGTTGGGAGCAGTGTGATCTTTGAAGATTTACTCTGGTGTCGGGTCAAAACAGAATCAGTTCTGCAGAAGTGCGACGCCGTGTGGACTCAATGTAAATGCTCTCTTTGACTATATTGGGTGCGTATTTACCGTAGCACAGTGGAGCCTCATGTAGTGTAAATTAGGGATAAAAGTAGCTTTTTTCAAAAAGTTGCTCAAGCAAATGTAACAGAGTAAAGGTAACTGGTTACTACCATACTGTGCTTTAAATAATGAAGACAAAGTTCTTTGTTTTTAGATAAAAATATAGTTTTATTTTATTTTTTCACAGCATATTTTATCCTTGAAGCACCTCTCTGCTCTGTAACAGAAGTGCCTGTGCCGAATGAATATCTGTCTTGTGTTTTGTGTGTCCCACAGTGGAAGGCGAGAACTGCCAGCTTTGACAGCCAGGGCTCCTGCCCCTCACCGAGGCCCCCTGCTAGTCCCTGAGATGAGCTACCTGCGACCCAGCGGCCCAGAAGAGGTTTCCTCCCTCCTCTTGATCCACTTCCTGTCTGTGTGCTTGAGGAGAAACACAATCCCACCGTCTTTCCCTTCTCCCTCTCTCTCTATCTCTCACTCCCAGTCCCTCCACTTCCTCAAATCTAGTCCCAGAGCACTCCCAAGTACTGAACTAGGACTTTCTGTCTGTCAGCTAAGAGAAGCTCAGGCTTTTCTAAGCGTGGCTGGTGTGATGGCCTGAAGCTAGCATTGTTTTCTAGGAGACTGGCTGGAAATCCTGTCTGCAGACATTGATTGTTGATTTGTCCAAGCTTAGGTAAATCGAGCTTGTTGGCATCACAAAGGACCTGGAAAAACAGAGGTTTTAACTATGAGCCATGGGGTCTCTTTGATGGAAAAAGCCCTGTCGGATATCACTCCATGAAAGCAGCGGATGTTTCACAAAGGGAAGCTGAGCACATGTTGCCAAGGAAGGGGAAAAAAGAGATGATCTTAAAAACAAGCTGTTTTAGAAGTCTATGGCTCACTCACATTTATTTTTACAGTCCTGAATTAACATATAGTATTCCTTTTTTAAATTATTTATATATATAATTAGCTATAAATGTATTTAGTTTAAAATACTATTTCATTATAGCTTAAGATGTCTGTTTAATTTATGAGAGGAAGGGTGAGGCTGAAACCTCAAGTATCTGTTCGGTGTAGCTTTCAAAATCTGAAAAGAAAGACGAAATAAGGCAACAGGAATTCAGCGTTGAGCAACCTGGTTTCCACTGCAGTTCAAAAGTTCAGGGAACCTACAAACTTCACAATGTCACGAAGGCACAGGAGTCTGACACTGTCAAAAATAACAACTATTATAACGCTTTGTGTAAAAACAAGTGAAGCTGTTAATGAAGGGAGGTGCAAATATCTCCATCAACAGGGACTTTTCAAGCACACTTTTAACACCGGAACCTTTTTATCACCTTGGTGTTCAGTTTCTTCCAAAATAGAACAGAAATGCTTGATTTTCTTCCAAAACACACTACAAAAAAAGCACTTTTGTCTCCTTGTTAGGTTTATTTTTGTTACTTATTTTGGTGGATGTAAATATATTTATGTACAGGTGTTCTGCTGTCTGTTTTGCTTTTCTAAATTAAAGAATATAAAATGAGAACTTAAGTAGAATTTTAAAAAAGGATATTTTGAAGTTTTGTGGTATTTTTTGTGGTTGGTGATCATGACTAAAAAGATGAAAAGAATAAAGTATATTCCCCCTTTTTTCTTTTTCAAATGCCACATTTTTCTGTTTATTTTTCACTAAATAATCAGTTAGCTCCATGTGAGGGAATTTGCAGTAAACTATCACCCCCGCAAAGGTAAAAAGAAAAGGCTGTAGTACGTTTTATGGAACAAAATGGAGTTATACCAAACCAAATAGAGCAGAACTTTTCCACAAAGCAAAAAAAAAAAAACCTCTCTTTTATGCTAGCTAGCAACATTAGCTAGTGAGATTAGCAACATTAGCTCTTGTCGTTTGGTGTTTTGGTAAGAGCTCTAGATTGTGTTGAAATTGGGAACTTTTTTGAAGTATAATGGGAAAGCAAGTATGTTTTTGTTTAACCATTTCACATTGGCGTTTCTGTCTTCCACGTTTAGCATTAAAACTTCCTGTAAAAGTTTCTATTTCTGCTAATGTCTATGTAATTTAGCCTGCAAAATCTGTTATGTGATGTAGGTCTCTCCCCAATTTGAGTCACGTTTAAGGCTTCACTTTCAAATAGAAGTTGCACACGTCCCAGTTGCCTGATGAGAAAATAATCCTAAATGTTTACAACATGAAAACAATATGGCTGACCTTTCCAGCACAAATAATTACTGTTCAGGGTCTTTAAAATGCACATTTCCAAAACAGTGAAAAATATTTCAATAATACTGTTCATACGGTTTTAAGCCTCTCTTAAAAGATGCCAAACAATTAATTGAGTTTTTCCCGGCTTCCGTACAGCACATTCTCCCGTTTTCACAATCCCTTTCTATTCATTAAATATTTCTGGGCGTTCATGGTGTGATTTCTAAATAAGATCTAGCCTAAATCTTATGAAAGAGATATTTTAAAACTACAGTTGGCCATCTAAGTGTAGCATCTGTTAAGAAACCGACGGCAAGCTGGCTCTCTGAGCAGAAAGCCCAACTTCCAGTTTTTATCCTAAGCAGAGAGAGTAGAAAATAATATTCTGTGAAATTAGCTGTGAATATTACCAAAGTGTTTATTCCATGTTATTTTTCCTCCACCAATGGGTCAAAGGTATAGCAGAAATAATAATTCTTACTTTTGTATTTTTAATAAAAGCAACTATACACATTTTTGCTTATTTTTTATTAATACATTTCTAATTTAATTGACAGATTGTTTTGTTCTGTCTTTCCATTTAGAAGACATATGCATTTGCTTTAAATATGTTACATTTTATGTAATGAAAGTATTGTTTTTAAATTTAAAACATTTTAAAAATACAGATGTGACTACATTATATCCCCAAAGAACTACTACAACTTTTAGAGCTGAACAGCAAATTATATTGTTTATTCACATCTGTACAAAAAATGTAAAGCTTTCCAAATCTATTTAGGATAGAAAGAGCAGCATAAAGCGTGGTCGTAGCTCACCTTCTTCATGTTAGTGACTCACATCGGGCAGCGACTCATATCTGGTAATGACAGAGTCTTCACTTTCATTTTCAGATTCTGCAAACAACCATCTGCTGCAGCGTCTGCTAACTGTGTAATCTGATTTATTGTTATTGCTACGGAGTCTTTTGTTAGCAAGCAGGCATAAAAGGGAGTGAATTCTAAAAACTTTACAGCTGTAAGATAAAAAGCACATTTATCTTGTATTTGTATCGGTTTACGATTGTTTTATGTTGTAATACTGAAATTATTATATTGTAAATGATCATGACATTGTGGGATTTTCTGTTCTGTGTTCTCAGACATCATAAAAATTTTTTTAAAAATCATAAACATGTTTGTTTTTACCAAAACATGTTATTCAGGTCCAATTTCCTGTAGCGTCCTGTTTTAGTTTGTGTTTCAGTTTGAGCCACCAGATGCAGTAATTGATGTCAAGCTCCTTATTAACATGTCTAGCAAACAATATGAGAAACTGCAATCTGGAGATGATACCTGGCAGGACAGCTGCTTAACAAGAATCACAGATTACAGTTTGGTACAGTTTGTACAGATGCATTTTACTTTGTGCCACAGAATATGTCATGGGAAAATCGGAGGCAGACATGACGACAAAAGCAGATGGATTCAGCAGACCCAGAAAGGCCTGTTTTAGACATTTCCGTAGCGGATAAATTTACCCGCAGCAAGCCGTTTGGCACCTTGGTGTTAAACTGAAAGCCTAAGATGACAGAGCGTGGGAAGCTGTTGGGCGGACAGGTCAGCATCAACATAACGGTGGCATTTCTCTAATTGGCACTTGTTAGAGCAAGAATGAGTCAGTGCATTGTTCATGCTTGACGTATTCTACCATAGCATCAACACGCTGCTGTAATTCAGTTATTTGAATGTTGAAGTTCTTCTTTAGACTAATGGCATTAATAGATTTCTACTATCTAAACAAGTGAGTGAATTATTGTGTTTCTGTTCCTTTTTTTTTTTAAAAATACAATGTATTTTACGATGGTCATATTTCTCTGACAGTGTGGTGTGTTTTCATCGTCGGTGGAACCCGTTAGGTCAATTGCCTCAGTTTATGGACTGTTTTAAGACCTTCTAGCTTTGCCTAATATTGTACTGTTTGTTGATATGATCTTGTAATCCTTTCCAAATGTTAAAATAGCTCTGAGGTTTAAATTTTTTATTAAACATTTTGTATTTGTAATAATAGAGATGTTGGTAAAGACAAATGGGTTCTAGATAAACTCAGTGATCCAGTGTGTAATAAAGTCAAACTGAAATACAAAACTGTATTTTCTCCACCAGTTTTCATTTCTCAAAAAGAGCATCAGGAAAATAGCTTGTTGTGCTTTTTCCCATGGAGCGTGACATGACTTCTTTTTCTTTGATTAAAAGAGTTTTACAAAAAGAAAGGGGCCTCTGTGTAGCAGGTTTCTGAGAGAAAAATACAGACACCAGCACTGGGTTAACAAACTGGCTGAACATGAATTAGGGGTGGACTTTATTTTTGTCTTCCTTATTCTGTGCATACCAAATGGCTTGTTCCAGTTGCACATTGGAATAATTTAACCACACTGATATTTACATAAACAGAATCCCTCTGAACTTCTTCTGAACTCTTCTGATACTGTTATTGCCCCCACACCTCATTTCAGCATTTTCTGACTATGTATATAATTTTGTAGTGTACATAGTTTGATCTCATGCTAAGGATTTCTTTGGTATTTGGAAAAAAAATCAGTGTTTCAAATTTGAGACTCCACCTGTATTGCATGTTATGCACATGTGCAGCTTACAGCTACACTTCTTGTACCAATGAAGATTATCTTTCCTTTGGAGGCAGAATGATAAACTGACATCAGTCTGACTTAGAAGTCCATAAAAATATTAGCTCCTTTCAAATTTACATTCGTTTTTCCTTTTTTTTTTTTTTTTTTTTTTTTTTTTTTTTTTTTTTTTTTTTTTTTTTTTTTTTAAAAAATTTTTTTTTTCAACTTTAAAAAAAATTTTTAAAAAAAAAAAAAATAAAAAAAAAAAAAAAC